AGTCAGCCTCTGAAGTGGATGCATCCAAAATACAAAAACATTTCTTCTGCTCACAGATACTTACTATCCTGTTGTGTACATCCAGCAGTTTTTATTTTAATATGCTAAGAAGATGGGTTTTATTGGACTGAAGTCCATCAAGTCAAGCCAACTTAACTGTTCTTGTGGTCTTCCAGCAAAACAGAAATTCTGTTGGATGCTAATAAAAATCCCAGAGCTCTGCAGTTCACAAGGTATTTGGTTCCTAGTGACAAGCTCTAGTTTGTAATCAGGGCTATGAGATATAAACCTATTTGTTACAGTCATGCTTTTTTTTTGCCAAGTTCATCATCTAGTGTCCCCAGGTGCTGCTCAATTGCGTGTGTGTGGAAGGAGAGCTACAAATAACTACCCACTGCAGGAAATGACAGGATGAAATTCAAAATACTCTTTACATTCACAACCAAAGGATAAATAGAACACAGAAAAGTTACAGCAGAGGAAGAGACCATTCAGTTGATCATATCTGTGCCAGCTGACTAAATTAGTTGCTCATTTTAATCCTGTTCTCAAGCACCTACAAGTATAATCAATTTTAAAACTGTTGTTAAGGGAATGAGAGGATAAATGTAAATATGTGAAGCAACTGAAGCTACAGGGTTATGGATAGAATTGAACATTGAAATCAGATCTGTATTGCTCAAGAAAAGAGCCAGCACAAACACAACGGCAATCTCGAGTCCTGTAAATATGAATGATTCTTTAGATTTTTTTTGTAAGTTGTTGGGAAATTTAGAAGTTATAAATCAGCTTACAATTATAAAAACATTTTAATAATTGGTTTTCTTGCTTTATGTTGTGGAGAGTTTTTTTTATTCATCACACTATGCATATTAGCACTTAAACTTGATAATATTCCTTGCTCCACAATTGGACTCGTAAGTATCAGGATTTTACACAGAATCATCCTCAGCACCAGTGCACCACAATTTTCCATATCTGGAGAGGCCATTATGAGGTGAAATCAGTTATTTTTATGATTGCATTCCTGGGAATTTCCTGTGTGTATATGTTATTTGAGGACAGGGAGTTATTAATCTCTATCAGTGTCATGAAATATACTTCAGTGTTGCCTAATGGTACGTTTATTGGTTACAGAAGATTGCATATTGACCTATAGTTACTTGAAGTTGGAGGTTAGGCAGTTTGGGACTGCAACCTGAAAATAAAACCAATGCTCATCCTTATTGGTTACTGTAGAAACAGCTATAGCTATAGTCGGATGTGATGCTTATGTCTGCTCCGCTGAACTGGATACAGTTCCTTCCAAAAGCTATGACCAATTTTAACCACATGATGGCAACATTCCACTTTTCTTTCCTATTGTAATTTACTTTCGTCCTATAATGGATTTGAGCATGGTAACAAACACATCTTGCTCCACTGGGATAACAAGGTGGAGATGAACACAGCAGGTCAACCAGCATCAGAAGAGCAGGAAAGCTGACGTTTCGGGCCTAGACCCTTCTTCAGAAGTTGCTCCACTGGGTTCTTTTCAATTTAAATAACACTCTTGGTGGTTCAGTAAAGCACAAACTGGTCTCTTGCAGTTGCACTGTTCCACACAGCACAAGCTAACCTGAAAATAATTACAAAATGTTGCTCCTGATAAACAAAAATGGGACCTGTTTAGAAGTAAATGTGGCATTGATGTTGATTTTGAGCACCACTTTAAAGGAATATGGACCACTTAGACTCATTATTTTATGTCCATTTCCATTGAAGAGAATCTAAAATACATTGAGAGACTTTCTGGGATAGTTTGGCAAGGCATAGACCTATGTTCTATAGGTAGGTTCTTTACTCAGAGAGTGGTCGGGACGTGGAATGCATTGCTGGAGTGGGTAGTGGAGTTGGCCTCATTAGGGGCATTTAAGCGGCTATTAGATAGGCATATGGATGATAGTATAAGGTAGGGGTGGAGGTTAGATAGACCTTTAGGATTAGGGTAAAAGTTCAGCACAGTATCGTGGGCCAAAGGGCCTGTACTGTGTTGTACTGTTCTATGTTCTATGTTCTATGACTCAAGCAAAATATATTCCAGATGGCTATGCCACGTTATTGAGAACCTTCTAGGAGTCACCATGAGAAAAGCAGCACTTTACCACAGGCATCTTGATAGGAGAATGCCTTGGCCTGCAGAAGGAACGGGAGCGTGACATTAGGACTGGCAGGAGAGAGAGAGACAAGATGGGAGGTTCGGAGACATGGCAGGCTCCTCCACTGCAGGTACAAGAATTTTAAGTCCTGACTTCCAAGTAGCTAGTCTTTATTAACTCATATCCATTCAGCATGTTTTAACCTTTTAATAGAAACAACACTCTTAGTATAAACTTATGAATCTAATTATTTTTTTCTTCTATATTAGTTCAGTCTTTTGACTCCTACATGTTCAATAACTCCTCCTAACTGGTCTCCTCTTATGATGGCAATGTCAATCTTCACTACTTTAACAAAAATTAAACAAGATCAAGAAATTAGAAGTAGAAAAGGAAATTTATTGCTTTTAATTATTGATTTTTCAAAGGACCATTGATGGTAGAAATGTGCTCAACACCATTGGTAAATAAAAAAAGGTAAGGTCCAAAAATGCTCAACCAAATCCTACACAACCTCATGCATCATGTAAAAGCTAACTTTTAGAAAAATAGGGGGGAAAATGATCAACTTCATGAAAAGCTCTGAGAAATTCTTTATCATTTCTTAAGAGTATTTAGCATTGTCTAACAAATCAACACTACCTCTCTTGTCACTATGGTATATGCCATTTATTTAGAGACATTCTACATCTCTTTCCTACCTAAAGGAAAATGGCCGTATTATATGGGAATTTTACTTTTTTTTTTCCAAAATGTGGGGAAGAGCTCTTCATGGAGAGTTCCACTGTTTCGTGTCATTAATTTGTTATTGAAGAATCTAAATTTTATTTGTTTTCAATGTAGACTGTTCTAATAACTTAAGAAAAACTGAATTGTCCATGCTACTGTAGTTCAAAAATCAGCACCCTCTTCTCATGTTGTAGAAATGATTGTTTCATTTCTGAAATTGGTTGTCTCGTGTTTCAGTCTGATGAGTGCAAGATGAAAAACTTCAACTTCATGCCTTTTTTTAACAAAAAAATGTTACCAAGATCAACATAGGAAAGTATGATTAGTGTCAAATATTGTGTCCATAGTTAAAATGTAGAAAATCATTTTTATATAGCAAACTTAATACCCACACCCCATGTCCAACTTTCCATCCTGAGATTTTTTTATTATTAGAATTCAGTTCCATACGATGATAGCCACCCATATTTAATTTGTTCACATTTAGATTTAGCGTGCTGACAAATCATTTTGCCATGGATTGGGTAGAAATCATTAATGACCGACTTGTACCTGTTTTAACCCCTGTTCGCTGCGCCTCCCACTACCACTCAAACCCACCCAAGTCCGAACCCAGTGACATCCAAATCTCTGAAATGAATAATAAAAACTTCTCAACCACTTGTGCCAAGATCCCCATCCCAACATATGTGCACTTCCGATGGGGTCACTAAATAATGCAACAACCCTGTTCTCATTCTTTTTTCATGGTGTTGGTGTGAAGAGAAGTTTTGGTAATCTAAAACCACCCTAATAAAATTAGCTTTCAGCCTAATAACCAAAGTTAGTCACTGTTAAATGTGCTATGAACTTGCAATTCATTTTTCAAATTTTGAGTGGGCTAGTGGAGAGAAAATGCCTTTACCATCAAATCACATGAAAATATCTTTGACCAAATTTCCTTTTTCTATTTAAAGTGTGGATTCCAGGAAATGTTTGCTAGTCCCAAAAATGTATAATTGAACTCAATTTTTTGAAATAAAAGATTGTTTCTTTCCCAATGATCTCTGTGATGAAACACTGAATTTTAATATAACTAAATATTTTTTCTTCATGGGATGTGGTTATCACTTGGTAAGTCATTACCCATCTCCTTTCTTTTGCAAAAAAATTTATTCATAAATTATCTAAAATATAGAAGTCCAAAACAGCCCATCCCTAATGGCCCAGAGGACATTTAAGAATCAATTATATTGCTGTACACATTTTCTTCTCTTCCACAAGGTTAGTTACTGTACAAAAGCTCCTATTTTCAGGTTTTTAATATTGGTCTTAATTTCCACCATGGTGAGATACGAACCTTTGGCCCTAGAACTTTAGAATAGGGACAATACGACTGCGCTATCGCCTCCCCGCTTAATCCCCTTATGATTATTTAAAAGTAAAGATCACTTGGCATTTGATAAAATAAATGACCTCTGTCGAAAGCTGCGATATCCATTATAGAATCGTATATATTTCATCTCTCTGTCCTTAGTTGAAAGTCAAACACGCGCAAGAAGAAATCTCAGATGTCTGGGCTGAAAATGACTGACGACAAGAGGGGGCGGTGGTGGGCACTGAATCACAGTGGGGCAAATTGAAAGGTTCAGGGAATGTCCGCAAGTAATTTGCAATGCGGAAAGGGTGCAGGAAGCGTACCTTTAATGTGGCTTCACATCTGAAGTCTGCCTGCGTTGCCCACAGTGCCCGGCCCAGGCTGAATTGACGTCAGTATTGAGGGGGTGGGGAGGGGGGTGAACACGTTCCAGAGTGGGAGGCTCTGTCTTCAAACGGGAATATTTATCCATTCAGAACTGACTGCGCAAAATTGTCGAGGTTGCTCATCAAATGTCATACCTTATATATTCCTGATACGCCAAACTGGTGGGCTCCCCTATCAGCCTGGCTTTGACCTAGCGATTTGGCCACGAAGGCAGAGAATCCGAGATGGTAACAAGAATTTGACGAACTATATGAAGGCTCCTGGAGTCAGACTCGGGCTGTAAAGCAGCATTGCAGGTCGTTAGCAGCAACTCAACGCGCAGGCCTCCAATCATGCAGACAGCTACCCATTTGCAAACAACCGACAGCAGAGCAAAACAGAACAAAAGGTTGATTCCTAAAATATTGTTTATTTTAGTCCAATTTACCCTTTGCAAAAAGGTCGTTAACGCTGTTTACAGTCATATGTAACAATAACAAAATAAATCCATCTCAGCAGATAAATAGGCTTCTCAGACATTTGACAGTGCAGGAAGTGGCATTTTTCTTTAAAAAATTCACTCTCGTTTGATAAAGTGCAATTTTAAGGATGGGGGTGGGAAGGAAACATCTGTTTCAAGAAACCTTACAATTGTCTCTACTAATGAACGGACAGGATTACAAAGTGCACGATGACTCCTCGGAAAGGATCTATCTCAATTCTTCGGGCTATTTTGGGAGAGTAATCAAATAGTATGACACTGGATTAATTTCCCTGTGCTAATTTATTAATTATTAAAAACTGCCATTTCGTTTGGGTTTTATGCTCTGGTCAACTCCCACCCCCCAAAAGGCAAGGGGCTTCGCCAATACGGTGACAAGAAAATTCACAATTTGAGGTATTGGCACCAGTCAGAAAGAAAAGATACTCCAAATAAGAATCACGAGAAATGAGCCGCAATAAAGGACCAAGGTGCGCTTTAAAACGAAAGCTGCGCCGCTGCAGGATAATGTTCACTGCAGCAGCTCATATCATACCCAGGGATCACTTGGGAAATACAGTAAATCATTCTGACACTCTCACAATCTTGTGACCAATACAATACGCAGTTTCTATTGGATTTTAAATCTCCATAATAGAAAATAAAATCCCGTCACAGTTGGAATTTCAAGCTTCAGTTGATGATAAATAGTGGATGGGTAGGTGAGATTGACAGGTGTAAAGATCAAAGTTAAATAAATAAAACCGTGTCTATTTTTTATTGCAATGGACTAGATAGGTCTTTAAAGACGTTTAGAGCACTGGCCTCAATTTAGATAGTTTAAAGTGCATCATGCACCAATAGTGCTTTAAACTGGAGGCTAGTTACCATTGGTGTTCATAGACAACTGGGGACGGTGCAAAGTGACCCTTACAACATTCCAACAATATCTGCCCTTTCCTGAACATTGCCAGTTATCTCTAAGTTGAAGACTTTTGGGGGGAGTAAAATAACGTTTCCCCAACACAGGGCTATTTCATCAGTAGAAATGTTGTGTCTCTGTATCAATACACGTTTACACCATCGCATTTGTCCCGTCTGGAATAATGCAGTTTCTCATCGCGATTCTACTGGAAACCGCTGGGGGCGCATACAACGTGAATGTACTGACGTGAGAAAAAGCTGCTCTCGAAAGCACACTTTGCCTTGTTTTATACAGCGGGCAAAAACATGTCTTTCTTTGAAAATAACTTCCAGTAAAAAAATAAAAATTACAAATAATGATTGTTTGAAAGAATAAAATCCCACGAAACAGAAGACACTATACGTCACTGGACGACCTTGGTCTAAATGAGAAATTAGATGAGATACAGCCACAACATGCTACCCAGAGCGACTTCTGGATGTCAGGGTTCCGGTATGCATAAATAATAGGATTAATCACTGAATTGCAAGTCGCCGGTAGCACGGTGACATAGGTGTAAATCAGTGGGTAACTGGAGTCTGCAATCAGACAGTAGATTGCAAAAGGGATCCAGCAAGCAGCGAAAGTGCCGAGGATGACCGATAACGTGGAGATACCCTTCCTGGTCGAGGTGCTGGAGGTGGCCACGAAATGGTACTGCACAGCGATCTGCTGAGCGTGTCTGAAGGCGATCTTGCAGATTTGAACGTACAGTTGCAACATCAGAGCGAAGATCAGCAGAAATGAGACCGAAAGCACAGCCGCGTTGTTTTTGGTGATGGGTTTGATAACACTGCAAGACGTCTCGTCTTCTAAGCAGTTCCAGCCCACGACGGGCAGTGATCCCAAGCTGATGCATGTGACCCAGATGGCGAACAGCACCAGGTAAGTGAAAGTGGTGGTCCTCTCTGTGTGGTATGTCAGCGCGTTATACAGCGACAAATAACGGTCCATGGTGATGGCCAGCAAACTGCAGACTGAAGCCGAGAAGGAGGCTATCAGCAGCGCAGCCGACACCAGTCGAGCGGCTTCGAAGTTCAGCAAGTAGAGGAAAATGAAATTGAGGATCAAGCCGACTCCTCCGAGGAGATCCGCCAACGCCAAGCTCCCGATTAGGATGAACATTGGAGTCCTGAGGGTTGGCGTGTAGAAGATCACAGCCACCACGATGGCATTCTCGCAGGAAATGACAGTGCCCACCACACACAGGGCGATGTCCCACGGATTGACTGTCTCGGTGGCTAGGTCGGAGGTTGTGACTGAGGAGTTGCTGTCGTCTGAGGAGAGCCAGCTTAGGGACAGCTTCGAGCTGTTTCGGGCCTGACCATTCATCACTGGAGGGATGGAAAGCATCATCTGAGGACAGGAGAGAACAAACGCAGATAGTTCAAAGACAAAGGGACAAGGCATCTAAAATACACTCACTCGCCGAGAATCCAGCCTGTGGTGCAGCGGGTTATGTATGAACTGGCAAACATTTATTGACAGTTGTTCCCACAATAAGGAATATTCGTTTAAATAGAATACACGATGACATAGCAACTGCTTGGTGGAAAAGGTGAATTCATATAAACACCCATTGCAGTGGCAAGGAGTTAGACCCCACAGTGTGCATTATAAACGCGTTTATGAGAAAGAAAGCCAACAGAGAGTGACACAAGCCTAGTTTAAACTAAATGGTTGCACGAACAAGTGCAGTTTTACTCAACAATGTGAAAAGCAGTCTAGATTTTCAAACGCAGAGAGCATGACATATTTCAACATACAATTCATAAGCCTCTTACATTTTGTACAGACATTCTATACTGTACAATAATGACGAGTCACTAGGTATTGTTGGATCCATATGCAATTCATCGTAAGTACGTTAAATTTACCGATACTTCATATCAAACACTGATAGGGTTTGCAAACATCTATGCTGTAAAATATTATTAATGTTTTAATATAACCTCGGAATTAAAATAGAGTTAACAGACTGTTTTTAAAAAAGAGATCTAACGCTGTTTAGTATGAAATCTTACATTTCTCCATTTAGCCTCCAATGTTAATTACAGGGCAGCAACTGGACTAAGTCTTACCGGCTCCTGTGCTCCGGTTTCGGTGCTTGGTAGCCTAGGTTTTAATCCGTTGTATCGGTAAGGATCTTTGTTCTGGATTGCAGGTTTATTCAGTGGCTGACATTGCTAATCAAACACTAGATTTGGTGAATTGAATGCGGTGAATGCGATGCCCAAATGGGGTGGTGATAAATCTCTGTTCTGACGTCAAAAGTGTACACTTCTTGTGACCAGCTCCCTGACTGAATCACAGGCTGTGATGAGAATATCAAACAGACACACACACACATCAGCACCAGCCGAGCTTCATTCACAAGATTTCTTAACTGGACGCCCATCCTCTGCAGACACCTCCCAAGGTCATTGAAAGCAGCCAGGTACCAAATAGATCATCCCCAGGAATAGCTCCTGCGCCGAACACAGGGGAGCTAATTCACTCATACCCATTCTCTTTCGAGAATGCGTGTGTCTGTTTTCTATTGTTGCAATCACCCACAACTTAAAATGTACCGCAAACAACTCGACAGTGCACTTTCAAGGGGCCTGTTTATCACGCCGTGTTGTGTGAAATGGCATTTTTAATACCGTACACGATCTAGAAGTTAGCCCAACTCGAACGCTTGCTGACAGCTCGTCTGTCTGAAAGGGAAGACATGCAATGATTATTCACGGAAAATCCAGGTGACATTTCCCCGCGGTTCATCCCTAGTCTCGGATCCAGCTCACCCTTTATATAGTGCAATTATGTATGAGAGAACCTATCCCCACCCAGCTTCTGGTACTGAGCCCAACAACCCGAGTCCAATAATCCCGGCACCCGAGCCCCCTCTGTCTTGGTGCAGAACAGAGACCAGCAATGTCTTAAGTAAAGCCTCTATGCGAAAACACAAATATTCTGGGTTAATGTATTTGGACAGGGTATCTTCAAATAATCGAAATAAGGCACACTTCAATCATCACTGTTAATACCTTGAAGATTAAATATTAATTTTCCTGAGGCCACGAATATTTTCTCAGTGCGAATTTATTTTTAGACATGGGTCTAACAGTCCAGTGAGATCAGATTCTGCTTAAAGGGAAAGGGCAGAGATGTCGATTCACGGGTCAAGGTATTACGAACGGTTAAAGCAACAGAGACGAATGGGATACCATGAATTGTTAGTTAGGTTTAGGGCATAGGTTAGCAGGTAAGATCACATCTTCATTTTGATCATTTCATGCACATTTGCATCAAGCCGAACCGATCCCGTATTCGAGAGAAGGCCCGAGTTGCTACATGAATGCTGATCCAGACCGCTCCGCTGCTGTCTTTCAATGTATGTGTAGATTTAAAAAGGAACTTTTGAGTGCTTCCCGTCAACATAGTGATGCAAATTAATTAACTTCTCGAAAATGAAGCTTTAAAAAATACTCTGGAGAGAAAGAACTGGGAGGAGCGCTGAAACGGAAGGATGAAAGTTCACACAGGCTCGGGAACACGAACTGTGCACTGCTTAATTCAGTTACTTCGACTGTATCAGTAAAGTAACGTTATCAACTAAAAAAAAGCAAAACCAGCAAACTCCGGTGAATTAAAATCCTGCTGAAATTTTACAGTTGCCATGCTATGCACAGATCTTTCACACGCACCTTTTTTCCTAAGTTGCTTTTAACGATCATTTCTGAAATCATTACACTGATATTTTGTTCTCACTGAAGCAAAATATAAACAGAATTCAATAGCCAATCATTTGTTACATCTCTTTAATAATTTGGAAAACTGTTAGCATCTGTTACTCCTTTTTGGTTTTCTGACTTTCTCTTGTCGTTTTTGTTCTCAGGTTTGTTTTATCTCTGAATCTCACTTTTGTTTTATCTCTGAATCTCACTTTTGTTTTATTTCCCTATTATTTTTCATTGCAGCTCTACCTGTTTAATCACCTGCTCCTGTTTTTCTTTGCTTTTCTCTGATTTCTACTCTTCTTGTTGACTCCATCACTTCCTTTCATCCTATTATGTTTTCGCTGGTTTTCATTCCATTTTGTTATTTATTGTCTTTCCCAATTGCTTTTCTCATCATTTCTGTTTATCTTATTATTTGTACTGCTTCCCATCCTGTCTTTCCCTCTTTTATTCCCAATCCTGTTTATCTTTGCTTCTCTCTCATTTCTCTCAACACCTGCTTTGGTTTTTCCTGCCCTACAATCTATTTGCCATGAATGCATTTTCTTCTTTCTCACCTGGTTTATCTTCTGTGTTGCTTCTCTTTCTTTATAACTGTATCCATGTTGTCAATTTCAATTCCAATGATTTATTATTATTGACCTCCAACTAACATTCTGAGTGCATTCTGCAGCAACAAGCATTGACATCATATTCAATGCTCAAAACTGTAGGTTTCTCTTTAAGTGTTAACAGCACTTTTTCTGAGTTTTAAGCAAAGCTGTATCATAACTGAGTCCTATTTCTAACAGAATATGAGAATCCATGTATTATTATAAGTACTGTTTGTAATAGGATTTTTCTATTGCAAAAATATTTTTATCTTTTTGTCAATTCTTTTTAATCTTGTTTTAATATTACATCATAATTTTTGGAAAATGATTTCCATAATACTCAGTATATTTGCTGTGTTAATTTAGTGACAAGCTGTCTTTAACTCTGAAAAAAATAATTGCCAGATTCTAATGTTCATGAGCATTTTTGTGTCCATCAGGAGCATTGAATCAGCTCAGAATCCCAGTATTCTATTGCAAAGGCAGTGTTATTCACCCTGTTTTCAAAATGAATACTAAAATTTCATTTACCTTCCTAACTGTCAACTGAACCTGTGTGCTAATCTTAAGAGAATCCTGGACTCCCAGTCCCTTGTGCTATAAATTTCCAAAGCCTTTCCCCATTTAGATAATAGTCTATATTTCTGTATTCTTCTTACCAACATGCCTAATCTAACACTTTTATTCATGGTACTCCACATTGTATTCCATCTGTCACTTATTTGCCTACTCTCCTAGCCTGTTCAAGTCCTTCTACAGTCTCTCTGCCTTCTCAACACCATCCGTCCCTTGCCTTGTCTTCGTGTCATATACAAACCTAGCAACAATGCCTTCAGTTCTTTCGTCCAGATCATGAATGTATAATGTGAATAGCTATGGTTGCAATACTGTCCCCTGTCGAACTCCATTAGTCACCAGCTGCCATCCTGAATAAGACCCCTTTATTCCTAGTGTCTGCCTTCTGCCAGTCTGCCAATCCTCAATTCATGCCAGTATCTTGCCCATAACACCATGGCCTCTTATCTTATTTAATAGCCTGCTATATGGCACCTTGTCAAATACCCTCCGAAAATCCAAATAGATCACATCCACTGGCTCTCTTTTGTCTAACTTGCTCTTTACCTATTCTAACTGATTTGTCAGGCATGACCTCCCCTTGATGAAGCTGTGCTGAATCAGCCCTATTTTACAATGCACTTCCATGTACTCGCAATCTCATCCCTAACAATGGGCTCTAAAATCTCATCAATGACTGAAGTCAGGCTAATTGGCCTATAGTTTTCTGTCTTCTGCCTCCCTCCACTTTTAAATTTGGTTGTTACCTTAACCATTTTCCAGTTCTCTGGGACTCTCCCTGTCTCCAGTGATTCCTGGAAGATCACCACCATTGCCTCACAATCTCCACAACTATCTCCTTCAGAGTGGGTGTAGTCTATCTGGTCTGGGTGATTTTTCCACCTTCAGACTTTTCAGCTTCCCCAGCACCTCCTTTTTAGAGATAGCCATTGCCTCACCTCTGCCCCCCGACTCTCTTGAAGTTCTGATATGTTACTGATGTCTTCCACCATGAAGATTGATGCAGTGTACCTAATCATTTCCTCTGCCATTTCTTTGTTCCCCATTGCTACTTGTCCAGCCTCATTTTCCAGCAGTCCAATGTTCACTTATGCCTCTCTCTTAACTTTTATATATCTGAAAAAAATAACTCTTGCAATCTTTTACAATATTACTATCTAGCTTATTCTACTATTTTATCTTCTCCTCTCTTACTGCTTTTTTTGGGTTAACCTCTGCTGGCATTTAAAAGTTTCCCAATCTTCCGACTAAGCTTCAATTTTCAATTGAATGGTTTGACTGAGGATAAAATTATTCCTAAATCAAACATAATATATAGCCAGAAATCTAGTAAAATATTTTTACACTTCAAAGTTTTAAAAGAAAAATATGGAGCTTTTTCTTTGCAATTTGTGGCTGGCCAACCAAAAATGGTGTCTGGGAAAAATTTAGAGTGGTACCATGTCACTATATGCAAATAATATATACAAGTAAAAAAGGGGGAAGGCTTATCCTGGTTATTAACAACAACCATGTGCATTTATATAACACCTTTGATGCAATAAATTGTCCTAAGTCATTTTGAAGGAACATTATGGACAACAATTTGACACATAGCTATATAAAGTCATATTAGGTCAGATGACTAAAATCTTGGTCAAAGAAACAAGGGGGATCCAAAAGGAAGGAATAAGGCTAAAAGGGTAGAGATATATGGAGAAGCAGAGATATCAAGAATTTAGGGCTTAGACTATTGAATAGCTGCCAACAGATTAAAATTAGGAATACTCAGGAAAGCAGATTTGGCAGAGTAACGAGTTCTAGGGGGTTTGTAGGGCTGATAGAGATTATAGGGATAGGTGAGTTTGAGTCCATGAAGGGATTTGAAAACAAAAATGAGAAATTTGGAATTGAGGCCTTACTTGATGGGAAGCCAATGTTTGGTTAGTGCACAGAAAATAAGAGGCGGAATGGGGAGTTCTGACGAAGGGTCAGCAGACCTGAAATGTTAATTCTGATTTTTCTCCACAGATGCTGCCAGACTTGCTGAGCTTTTCTAGCAATCTCTATTTTTGTTTCTGATTTACGTTCTATAGTTCTTTCAGTTTTTAGACAGAATATGGGAGGCTGACTAGAAGCGCATTGGAACAATTAAGTTTAGAGGTATTGAAAGGATGAATGAATGTTTGAGCAGCATAGGAATTGAGGGAGGTGTAGTTTGTCAGTGCCACAGAAGTGGAAACAGGCAGTGCTAGTGAGGACATGGAAGAGTGGTAGCAAGTTAATCTCAGGTTCAGCTATAAATACCAAAATTAACAGTGATCTA